AAAAAACCTCTTGGACACACAGTCATCAATGGCTTGCACCAAAAATAAGAGAAGGCTCCCTTGAGACATAACTATCCATTGCTTACAATGGGAAAGAAAGCCTTAATTACTTAAAATTGTTCAAAGTATACAAGTACATCTCAACTAAAAAGCAAAAGGTGAATGAAATGATGTAATTGAACAAAAATCCACCTAGAATTATAGCACATGGGAGCTGGGGGGAAACTAGAGATTGGAAAGTTCAACCCTCATTTCGCAGATGAAGAAAATGAGGCTCAAAAAGGGGAAATCGATTTGCTCAAAGTCATTCAGCATTATAATAAGTGATAGAGCTGGGACTCAGACTCGGGGTTTCAGCTCTCCAATTAATCCTTATCTCATTCCACAATGCTGCCTTCTTTATGATCTTTTCTTTAAAAAAAAAAGGTATTGGTGTTCTTAAAAGCATTGCTATTACTTACATCACTGTTAATAGAACGTATGCTCCCTGAGGGCAGGAAATGTTTCTTTTTTGTGTTTATATTCTCAGTTTCCAGCACAGTGCCTGGAACAAAGTGGGTGCTTAATAAATGCTTGTTGGAAAAAAAATTTTTTAAAATGCTTGTTGAATTAATGAATTGTTTCCCAATGGCTCTCCCTGTCTACCCTCCAGAACCTCTCTTTGTAACAAAGAAATACAACTAAGCAAAAAATTAATGCATTGTTCACGATTTGTTTTTTCTGCCAGAGGTAAACTGTCTAGTGGATTCATCAGTTCCTTTGGCCCCAAAGAGTTATTCATTTAATCACCATTGATTAAACACCTATTTTGTGCAGTCCTGTGCTAGGCACTGGGAGAGTTCCTGCCTTCAGGGAGCTTATGTTCTAATGGGGGATAAGGCATGTATCTGAATAATCCTAAAACAGAAGTGCCCAGAGCAAGATACTTTAAGAGTTTAAGAGTTAAGGTGCACAGGGACAGGAAAATGCTGTATTGGAGAGGGTGCCCAAGTGTAGCGTTAGCAAAGGGGAAGAAAGGCAACATGAAGGAAGATTGTGAAGGGCCTCAAATGCCAGGCTGAGGAATTTGGACTTGGTTCAGGAGGCAAGAGAGCCACTGAAGGCTACTGAATGGTGGGGTGACCCTGGCTCCACTCTTTGCTTTAGAAAGAGGAGTCTAGGGGCAGCTAGGTGGCACAGTGGATAGAGCACCGGCCCTGAAGTCAGGAGTACCTGAGTTCAAATCTGGCCTCAGACCAAACCCTTGACACTTACTAGCTGTGTGACCCTGGGCAAGTCACTTAACTCCAACTGCCTTAAAAAAAAAAAAGAGGAGTCTGGAAATGACTGAGGATGAGCAAGAAGGGAGAGGGGAGGCTGGAGATAGGGCTGTTCCGGCATCAGCATCCAGAAGCCCACATCTGGCAGTCTCTGAGGTTCTCTCTGCCAAGAATGACAAGCGGTCACCCTGAGGCCATTTTCCAGATGTTAGTTTTTCCAAGCCAGTGCCTTTCCACCCAGGAGACACCAGGTTCCTTTGGAGGTAGAACAGCCCTGTGCCACTATGGCCATGGCCAATCCTGGTGGGGGTTTTGTGAAGCCCAGTAAAGCTCCCAGCCTCCTCTCCCTCCCCCTCCCCAAGCTCTGCAGTGTGCCCAGTGACAGAGCCTTGGCTGCATTTCAGTGAGAGAAGATGAAAGGCGCCACAGAACTGTGATTACTCCTTAGTACGATTTCTCCTGCACTCCATTATGGCTTTCTCAGCAGGCTTCTGATGCTGGAGCTTTCCATCAGGCCCTTTTATGCTACGGCCACCCAGATTTTCAAGTCCATTGGCCCCCACCTCTGCAGTGCCTTCTACATTCCTTTTTTCTTCCAGTTGAGAGGTGAGTCAGTCACTCACTGGGCGCAGAACAATTCAGATATGCCAGATTTGGACATGGCTTCCTAATTCACTGATTCCTCAATTTAGATGATAGAAGTAATCTTCTTTACTGGCCTTCCCTCCAGCACAGCACTGGCGGCTACAGGTTACAAAGTGTTGATGACCTGGCTGGTGAGACTGTTCTCTCTCTTTTTCTTTTTGGGAGGGGGAGGGCAAGAGTATGCCTACTCAAGTAGCTAATGGGGTTGAAGGGGCCTTCATTTGGATACCTTGAAGGTATCCAAAAGTACATACCTACAGGATGGTCCGGAGGGCTCTTCAAAAAGATTTTATTGATTTTTTTTGTTTTTTTTATGCAATAATCATTTCTTTATATATCCCTCTTCTCTTGTAACAGAGAAGAAAAAAAAACCACAGTTAAGTAAACTAAATTGACACAGACAGCAACAGCAGTGTAACAGTGTATGGGATATTCCCCACTCATAGTTCCCTATCTCCCCAATGGAAGGACAGAAGTAGGTTTCCTTATTCTCTCCCAAGGCCAAGATAGGGGGTTATTATTACCCACCATTAGGCTTTGGCTGATTGTCCTTTTCATTTACATGCTGCAGTTATTGTACACCTGGTTCTGTTTACTTTAATCTGCATCAATTCCTATAGATCTTTCCATATTTCTTTGAATTTTTCAAATTTGTCATTTCTTACTGGGCAAAAACATTCCGTTCTATTCATATGCCACATTTTTTTTGAGGGAGACCTTCTCTGGGCATACAAAGGGGTGGGTTGGGGCTCTTTTTTGAAAGGCTTTGGCCAAAGTAAGACTCCATTTGGATCCATAGAGACACTGGCTGCATTTTTGCCATATGTAGTCTCCTCAATTTCCCTCCCTCCAGGAGTCTGGGTACAGAGCTGGTAGGAAGAATCCTCTATTTTCTTTGTAGCTTGAACAGTGGATGGGGGGGGTGTCAGGAAAGATCTGAGTTCAAATTCCATCTTTGACACTTCCTGGACAAATCACTTGACCTCTACAAACCTCAGTTTTCCTCATTTGTCAAAAACCAGACCATTAGTTCAAATAGAATCTATTAAGGACAAATGTAAAGTTGTACACTTGGGTTCCAAAAATCTAATTTTATAAATACAAGATTCAATCTAATTCAACAAGCATTTATTGAGCACCTAGCATGTGCCAGGGACTATGCTAGGTATGGAGACATGAAGATAAAAACAGAACAGTCCTTGCCCTCAAGGAGCTTACAGTCTACTGGTGGAGGTATGTTTAGCCATCAATTTCTCTGAAAGTGATCTAGATTTTTTAGTGCATGAGAAGTTTGATATGTCAGCCGTGTGATGTGGCAGTCAAAACAGCTTATACAATTTGGATTGCACTGATCAGGGCACAGCTGCCAGGACCTGGGAGGTGACAGTTTCAACTCTAGTCAGACCGTATCTGAATTATTGCCTTCAGTGCCTTGGAAGATCAATTTAGGTAGGACGTTGATGATCTGGAAAGTGTCCAGAGGAGGGCAGTGAGTTTGATGAAGGGCCTAGAGTTCATTGCCATCTGAGTACTGCTTAGAGGGATTGGAGACATTTAATCTCTAGAAGAGAAGACTCTGGAAGAAAATGAGAGCTGTCTTCAAGTATTTGAGTGGTTTGGCCCCAGAGGACAGAGCCAGAAAGGATGAAAAGAAGTTTCCAGTAGGCCGCCTTTGGCTGGATGTAAGTAAGCAAAGCATCCTCAGGATGAGATCTATCTTTGGAGGTAGTCACCCCCTCCCTGCCACCAGAGGTCACCAAGCAAAGGCTGGGTGACCATGTGGTGGGACTGCTTGACGGGGCTTCTTTTTGAGGTTTGGGAGAGAGGCAGCACATGGCACAGCAGAGACAATAGTGGACTTGGAGTTGGGAAGAGCTGGGTTCAAATTCTGTCTCATAGACTTACTAGCTATGTGACCTTGGGCAAGTCACTCTCTGGGCCTCAGTTTCATCATCCATAAAATAGGGATCATAATAGCACCTAGCTCCTAGGATTTTTGTGTGTATCAAAAACAACAACAAGAAGATTGTTTTGAAAATAAAAACAAAGTTCATGTATTCAAAGCTCTTTACAGACCTTGAAGAGCTATTAGAAATGATAGCTATTATCAGCACCAGCAGCAACACTCCCATTTCTACTACAGTTGGGCTACATGGTCTCAGAGGTCCCTCCCAATTTTGAAATTCAATGATCATGTGAAAATGGGATGATAATACCTCTGCAGTATCTACTTCAGAGGGTTATGAGGCTCACATGTATGTGTATACAGTGCTTTACAAACCTTAAGAGTGCTATGTCAATGTTGGCTGTTATTATCACTGAACACAAGGTATGAACTCTAGTGTAGGCAGACTGGATTGGTAACAAACAAGCCAGCCCTTAGCCACCCTCAAATTGGGTAGACAGCTAGTTGGTGCAGTGGCTAGTGCAGTGGGCAGGAAGTCCTTAGTTCAAATCCAGGCTCAGATACTTGCTAACTGTGTGACCCTGGGCTTAACTTCTGTCTCCCTCATTTTCCTTATCTGTAAAGTGGGAATAATAATAACATCTACCTTCCAGGGTTGTTGTGCAGATCAAATGAGATTGTCTTTGTCAAGTGCCTAGCACACAGTAGGCACTAATAAATGCTTGTTCCCTTTCTTTCCCTCAAAGGACTGGAAGAACATGCCATGGGCTCTGAAGGTCTCCTAAAATGGAGTCCATGGGTGGTTGAAGCCTTTACAGCATTGCTGAAATCAGTTTGTAATGCCACATTGGGGGTGGGGGGGAAGGGCAATGCCACTCATTCTGATGTTGGGGCTCCAGTTTGCTCCAAAATCAGCCCCCTCTGATTGAATGGAAACATGGGAAAAATCTGAAGAGGTGGCAGAGGGAGGGTTTAAAAAAGATATGGGTGGACAAGGATGGAAACCAGTTGGGGAACTTGAAGGCTGAAAGAAGGATGGTAGAAATTACTCAAGATCCATTTGTCCTACCTTAAGCTAAGTAAGTAATGAAAGGCCAGACACTCGAGGCTCATGGAGTGGGAAACTCACACTGAGCTTAATGGCACCCAATTCCCTGAAATTGATTTAAGAACTATTTTTCTTCTTCTAGAGGGTTGCCAGCTTCAAGTCTGAGGACAAGTAAATGACCATCAGCCGACGAGCCAGATCTTACCGCAGAGGATCAGTTCACTGGAAGGGATTCTTTCCGGAAGGCCGATGCTTGATCTGGCTCAGAAACAAACAGTACCAGTAGGAAGACACAGGATTCCAACATTTTGGTGAGTGTCCAGTCTTACCATCTCCTTTCTTCTCTTTGACAAACTGTGTTTGTTCATCTTCCTGGCTTTTCCCACTATATGAAATAAATTCTCATTAAGCACTGATAACTACAAACCTTGATCAGTGCTAACAGTATTAGAGGGTGGTGGCTAGAGGGCTGGTCAGCGTTGCAGTCAAATCCTGGTTCTTAGACCAGTTGTTTGTCTGTGGGTAAGTCCCTTAACCTCCACTAGCTCCAGACAATTCTCTAAGACTCTAAGTTAGTGGAAAGAGCATTAAATGAGGAGTCAGAGGACCTAGGTTCAAGTATCAGCTCTGCCGCTTATTGCCTGTATGACCTTGGGCAACTCATTTCCCTCCCTGGGCCCCAGGCTCTTCATATGTAAAACAGGGAGATTGGATTAAATGACCACTCAGGTTCCTTCAGACTTGAAATCTATGACCCTATTATGCTCCTTCCTTCACAGCCTAGGTGAAATGGCATTTCCAAAGTCCCTTCCAGCTCCTAGAGCTTTGATCCTTATGTATGACCTTGGGTAAAATCACATAATCTCTCTGGGCTTCAGTTTCCCCATCTGTAAAATGAGGGGGTTGGACCAGGTAGCCTCCAAGGTCCCTTCCAGCTCCAAGTCTGAGATATTGTTCTCCTACATTGATGAAATCATAGTTCTAGACCAAATTTTTTTTTTTTTAGGCAATTGGGGTTAAGTGACTTGCCCAGGGTCACACAGCTAGTAAGTGTCAAGTGTTTGGTCTGAGGCCAGATTTGAACTCAGGTCCTCCTGACTTCAGAGCCAGTACTGTATCCACTGCGCCACCTAGCTGCCCCTTCTAGACCAAATTTTTTAAAAATCCATAATAGTAACTGTCATTTACTTATATAGCACTTAAAGGTTTGCAAAGCCCTCTATAGACATGATCTCATTGGAGCTTCATAAGGATCCTGAGACCCTAGGAGGTATTGTTCTGCTGCAGGTATTATTCTGCTAGTTGTACCAATGAGGAAATGGAGGCTCAAAGAGGTTGTGACTTGCTGTGGCCATACAGCTTGGAAGTAGTGGAGGTAGAATTTGAACCTGAATCTTTTGGCCTCCAGGATCAGCATGCCATGTACACCATTCCATTTACTGGAATTTTTCTGCACACGGCTTTTCTCAGAAAGAGGCAAATGACAAGAGGAGCTGAGATGAAGGATACAGTAAAATGAAACAAACCAAGACAAAGCCAGCATCCGGGGGATGTCCTGGGGTCAGCACTGACGGCTCAATTTCCTGCACTTTCAAGATCGACACTGACCAAATTGTATCAGAAGAACTGACTTTGAACACGAAGACTCTCACGCTGGCAGGGTTGCCCAAGTGGCCATGCTGGCGGGGTAGGGGGCAGACAGGGAGGATGGGAGGGGTGACAATGAAGCATTGCCCATTAGCCAGCATGGTGGCAGAGGAGTTATGCATAAGAGTGAGGGGAAGCAAGCCAGTGCCTGCCCTGGACCAGTAGGGATTGGGTCCATCCTTGCTCCTTAGCACTTCCTCATTTCTAGCTGCCTCAGTTTTGTGGGATTTTTCAATCAATCAATACAATCATTTATTAAGCACCTACTCTGAACTAGGCACAGCATATACAAAGACAATAAACAAACCATTCCCAGCCCTCAAGGAGCTTATGATTCTTTAAAAGTTTTTTAAAAATTTTTAGGCAATTGGGGTTAAGTGACTTGCCCAGGGTCACACAGCTGGTAAGTGTCAAGTGTTTGGTCTGAGGCCAGATTTGATCTCAGCCTCCTGACTTGAGGGCCAGTGCTTTATCTACTGTACCACCTATTTGCCCCTTAGCTTACACTTTTTAGGGTCCTCGGATGTGGTCTTTTGACTGAGTCCAAGTTTTAAGGAACAAATCCTTTTATTAAGGGGATTTGCTCTGTGAAGTTTGGATTCAGTCAAAGGGCCGCACTTGAGGACCTAGAGGGCCACATGTGGCCTGGAGGCCACAGGTTCCCCACTCTTGTTTTAGGGGAAGACATAGTGTCCAAACAAAAATGAATAATAGCTTAAAACCTCAGTAAGACTACTGTTGGAACACCTTGAATACACACACACACACACACACACACACACACACACACATTCACTCTATGTATATAAAACAGTGTTTTTGGTGGGGGTCACTAGCAGCTAGGGAGGGGGCATCAAGAAAGGTCTCATGGACAAAGTGGTGCTTGAACTCGTGATTCTGAAAGGTGGTGGGTGCATTTATATATAAGCGATAGCAAATTGCTTGCCATTTTAGGAAGGGGGAGTGGAGGGAGGCAGAAACATTTGGAACTTAAAAGCTTGTAAAAATGAATGCTAAAGATTGTCTTTACATATAATTGGGAAAAAAAATAAAATATTATTGCCAAAATAAAAAGCGGTGCATTCCATGCAAAGTGGACAGCCTTTACAAAGAGATGGTGATTGGAGATAGAATGCTGGATGGGATTGTAAAATGGGACAATGTATAACGTGGATAATGTATAATAAAACTACAGAAATGACTAGGTTGGAACCCTAGAGGAAGCACTTTACATCCCCAACTGGGGAGTTTGTATGTGACCCTAGAGAGCCACTGGAGTTTATTGAGTTAGGGGAGTGGCATGGTCAGGCCTGTGCTTTAGGAAAATCAGCTGAGTGAAGGATGGATTGGAGTGGGAAGAGTCTTGAGGCAGAGAGTCCAATAGAAGTCTATTGCAACAATCTAAGGGAGAAGTGATGAAGGCTTGTATTAAGGTTATTGATGTGGGAATGGAGAGAAATGAATGGATGCTAGAGATACTATAGAAGTAGAATCAACAATACTTAGTGATTGGACATGGTGTGGCGGGGGAGGGAGGAGTCAAGGATGACTCGTGCTCTAAACTTGGGTGACTGGGCGCTCTGGGGCCACCCTTACCCCACCCCTCCTTTTTCAGCTTCATTAAGTCTTTCTTGAGATGTAGCAGTTCACATTCATTGTCCCCCCTTCCTCAGTATTTTTGGGTGCGGGCCCATCATGGAGTCATGAAGGACAAGGTATAGAGGATTGGAGTTGGGGGTTGGGGAGAAGTGTAAGGGATATATTGAGGAGCATCACATTTTCTCTTTTCTTTCCAATTCTCTTTCTGAGAATGTCCAACATTTTGAGCTCCTTTGGTGAGTCATTGGAGAAGTGAGACATCAACAAGCCTGGCTTAAGTTCCATCCCTAGGCAACCTATAAATAGGATTCAGAAAGTGATCGAGGGACAGACTCAACATAATTTGCTACTGAAAAAGTCCTCTCCTGCCTTTCCTCGGCTGGAGCTAGACTATTACCATTCACATCAACCCCTCAGTGTTGCAGACCCAAATATAATAAATAATGTCTGAAAGGGTGTCATTGGGCCTGGTACCCCCCAAAGTAACCACTTTTCATGGGAGATGCACATCAGACGGGTGTTGGTGATTATGAGAAATAGTGGGCAAATTTATTTCCTAGCTCCCTTACCTCAACACATTTTTCAGGACTGTAAAATATAAATTGCACTTGGAGTCATTCTTGTTAGCAATTTCGTATGAGAATGTTAGCTTCCGAAGGCCACCTCTTATCTCTTCTAGAAACAGAATGTTCCTACAGTTGACAAATTGAGACATATGTGATGGAATACATGGCTTCAAGCAACAAACAAAGCCCTTCATTTCACATAATGCCTTGGATTGTAACTATTTCCCTTACTAGAGTCTAAAGTGAGTCACTCTGTTCATTCCCACAGCTGAAAGGAAGTATGAAGACCAAATCAAGTCAAATCAATACAGCACAGCTCTAGGCGAAGCTTCTTTCATCAGACTTTTGGAGCTGAGAAGATATTAAGAGGTCTCTTCGAGACTAATTGAGACTTTTGCCTTTCTAGTAAGTAAGTGTCAGAAAGTGGTCCTAACCCAAACCTTCAATGCTAGGATGTTGGACCTTGTAAGAGAGCTTAAAGCTCATCTAGTCCAACTCACCTCAGTTTACAGAGGAGGAGATTGAGGCCCAGAGAGCGGAAGGTACTTCAGATCATAGGCTGTTAGAGCTGAAAGGAACCTTAGACATTATCTAGTCAATCTCATTTTACAGAGGAGAAAAGTGGGCCCAGAGAGGGAAAGTGGCCTTGCTTCACCGAATGTTGGGGCTAGAAGGGACCTAAGAGATCACCTTGTCTAGTCTCATTTTTAGGAGGAAGGAACCAAACCTCAGAGAGGAAGAGACTTGTTCAAGGTGCTAGAACTAGTTAGTGATTTTCCAGCATTAGAAACCAGGTCCTCTGAGCTTTAAGCATTCCATTGTGCCATCCACGCTGCCTGAAATGGATTAGATTATAGAGAGGCCACTCTATATAAGTTATAGAAAAAGTACCCATCTATAATGGTAGAGGGAGTCTTTATACCAATGAAACCACAGGTCTGGCCCATAATTTATCATTTGATAAACCTCCAACATGGAGTTGCAGATGGATCGACAGGCCCTTTTAGGTTTGAGTTGATGGCACTGCTGTGTAGGTGCCGTTAGGTGAGGCAGATAGGGTACCAGACTTGGAATCCAGTGGACCTACGTTCAAATCTCACTTCTGACACTTACTGGCTGTATGACCATGGTCAAGTCACTCTGCCTCTCTCAGCCTCAGTTTCCTCATCTGAAAAATGGTCATAATAATAGCACCTACTTCACAAAGTTGTTGTGAGGCTCCAATGAGATGATGTAAGTAAAGTACATTGTAAAGCACCATGTAAATGTCAGCTAGTATTATTTTCAGATGAGTGAGAATGTAAAGCCAGAACCAATGTTATCCATTTATGTTCCTCTTGCTTGCTATTCATTAGCAAACCAATCTGCCCTCCTTTCACCCCCCCCATGTGTTCCCCAAGAAAAAAAATGTTGGAGCAACTGAGGGCAACAGGAGTGACAAGAGGTTGGAAGGGTTCAGCAACCTTTTGTGATTCAGCCTAGAGGAGAAGCCTGTGCAGTGGTGGAACAGCCAGCCACTGGAGGGCCACAGCCTTGTTGCTGAAAGAACAATTTCTCTCCAAGCAGGAGTTTACCTAAGTGCTCCTTCCTTGCTGATAGTTGCTTAGTTTCTTGCTCTCCAGTGGAATCTCCCTTGAATATTGTGTTGGGAGGCTGGAAGCTCACCTTCCCTACGTTGTACAAGATGGGACATCGAATGGCAGTGCAGCAGCAAAGGGGAGTCCAAGAAAGCAAAGCTCCTGCCTGCCACCAGGGCTGACCTGGGCAATAGTCAGCCAGTCTTGGCCTTCTGTGGAGATGTCCTGACAACAGCCCATTTCATCTCTTTCATCAGAAAACTGACACCTTAGCAGTTGAGTTCAATGGACTTGCAGTAGGTTATAGTCCAACAAGAATAGTGGCTCATATTTAATAGCGCTTTAAGGCTTGCAAAAGGGCTTTACATATATTATCTCATTTGAACCTCACAACACACCTGCAGACTAGGTGTTGTGATACCCATTTTACAGATGAGGATCTTCTCTAGAGCTGGAAATGAACCTTTGAGGATAACTAGTTCAAGCTTCTTTCACAGATCTGGAAAACTAGGCCAAGGGATGTTAAGGGACTTCCCAAGATCTCAAATCTGGAGTTACAAGGGATCTTAGAGATTATGTAATCCACCCCCCCCCTCACTTTTTAGGCTCAGGGAGGTTGTGACTTGGCCAAGCTCATGCAGGTGGTAAGCATCAGACTTCTAGAGGCAGTGCTCCTTCTACTGAAGGCAAGACATCTTTAAAGAGGCACGATCTGAACCAGGGTTTTCCTGACTCTGAGTTCAGTTCTCCAGCCACCACACCAAGAAGGGACGTGAGTTGCCCAAGGTCACCAAGGTACTGAATGGCAGAATTAGGGCTTAACCCCCAGTCCTTTGATGCCAAACCGAACACTTTTGCTACGGCACAACATTGCTTAGGGATCCCTTTCCCTTCAAAACCATTAGATGGTGAGTATGTTACAGCTAAAGTCAACACATTAATACTCAGCAAAGATCACAGAAATTAGTTGTTTGAGCTTATGCTGACTGTTCCTTCCTCACCCTCATAGTTTGTCCATTTAACTGATAGCAGCTGTCATCATTAGGGGCCATTAGGTCACAAAACATCAGTGTAACTGAGCCTATAATAGGATAAATTGTGTGTGTGTGTGTTTACTCTCTTCTTCCCAACACTAATTATTGGGTTGCTGCTTTAAGAAACAACAAACCAAAGAAATGTCTGCTTGATGCCAGTTAAATGAACAGACTGTTAACGACAGGCATCCTGGCACAGGTAGGTCCATTCTAGCAAGGTGCTGATCACAGCTAGAAAGACTTTGTACAACAAATATCCTTTTGAAAGGGGGAGAAGAAAGCTGAAAATCCATTCAAAATAGCAAGCTAGAGATGTGTTGCAAGGAGTACAGGGCAGGTTTCCCCCCCTTCCTCCCTTTCAAGTACTGAAGACTTATGAGAACTCACTCAGGGGCTTGTCTTTTCTTGAGAGAAAATTGGATTCCAGGACTATGAGAATCAACTGTCTCATACTAGGGAGGCCAGAACGTGTGGGATTAGGCGTAGCTGCACACTCCCTGTATGCCAGTCTCAATTGTAAATACAAGCAGAGGGAGTCAGGAATTTTTGTCTTATCTGGGCAAGGCATTTGGTACT